AATATAATCTATGTATATGTGTAAACATTTTTATGTGAACAACAGTCTCACAGCGAGGTTGGAAATACGTTCACTAAAAATATACTGCAATGAAAATTCACGAACGATCACAATAAAATTGAAACGTGAAAAACAAGAAACATTCATTAAAACATTCGTTCTATACAGATAGAAAAACTTTTTCGTTTTCCTTCTCTCAGATCCTCTCTCTCTCTCTCTCTCCCTCTCTCTCTCTCTCTCTCTCTCTCTCTCTCTCTCTCTCTCTCTCTCTCTCTCTCTCTCTCTTTGTCTGTCTCTGTCTCTCTGTCTCTCTGTCTCTCTGTCTCTCTGTCTCTGTCTCTGTCTCTCTCTGTCTCTGTCTCTCTCTCTCCCTCTCTCTCTCAATCTCTCTCTTTCTCTCACTCTCTCTCTTTCTCACATGCTATTTCTTCAGTCTCACAATCTGGCGTACACCTGCATATGTAAAACAGATCTTCATTATGACAGGTATGCATTTGTGAATTAAAAATGCTTCAACTGTTTTTTGAATATGTAAATTGTTGGGGAAGATCTTATTTTATATGGGAGTTCGTTTTATAATTGGAGACCATAGAACAAAAAGGAACACTCGCCGTATGTTTTGTAATTTTGTTTTGGAGTTTTAAGAATTAGATTATCAGAGCCTGATCTAAGGCTCTAGGTGGATGATATTATTATAATTCCAGGAATTTTTTAAGATAAAAAGGTGCAGTATCATTTATACATTTAAAGCAGAAAACGGCAATTTTGTATTTGATCCTTTCTTTTATTGGCAACCAGTGTAGTTCTTTCAGCATTTTGTTGCGTGCGCTGATTTCTTTTGTTTTTTTAATTATCAATTTTGCTGCTTGATTTTGGAGCACTTGTACTTCTGATAGTTTTTCGGCCGTTAAACCGGTCAAAATAGCTTTATAGTAATCCAATGTTAATAAAATCAGTGAATTACTAGTGTCTTGGCTGCTGCTTTAGTTAAATAATTTCTGACACTGCCAATTTTCTTAAGCTGAAAGTAAATACTTTTGCTGAGCTGGCTAATTTTGGAGGACATAGACATACTATCATAATCCAACTGAACCCCTTGATTTTAAGACTTCTTTTTGAACAAATGATATGGTTATTGATATCAATTCGTAGTTCTGGGAGATTTTCAATGGCTTTTGCATTTCCATTCAAAAATATTTCCGTCTTGTCGTCATTTAGTTTCAATTTTTTGCTTGTCATCCTTATTTTTATTTCTCGAATACATTGTTCAGTAGAGTTGACTAAATGTGGCAACAGATCGAAATCAGCAACAGGTTGTGTATATATTATGAACAAGCCAGGTCCCAGAAGAGTAATTTCATTGAAACAGAATTCAAGGCTTATTGTTTCTCTCGAAGCTCAGATGTACTAGTGTACAGTCAAAGCTTGATATTATTCAAAGATGATATGCCTCGGCTGTACCCTTAACCCATGGCCATTTATATTTTGTCGTGTCGGGCGATCTTTCGTATTTCTTTTAATTACCCATGCCCCCCCCTCCCATTTATTTCCTGAATGTTCAGTACTTGGATCAGGAATAGTTCCGAAATGTTCTAACCTTTACGGAACATTTTCTTTTTAGTGTCCCGAAAGTTATTAAGTCCTTGGCCTTTGAATTTCCAAAAGCATGTTCTGTTTAGCATTAAACGTATCTAATGATTTAAAGATTTTATTAGCCTGCGTTCACGTAATGAAATTATTATTAATTCTTACATTTTCATAGCGAACTTTATGTGGTTCTTCCCCCTACAGCAAACTGAAACATATTATATATTTCCCCTCCTTTTACAACAACGTAATTTCACTTAATGAGAAAAGCAAAGAGAGATAATTGCAATTAATAATCAAGTGTGGATCAAAGACCTATTTTGTAAGGCATTAAGGTGAGGACGGAACACGTGAACAAAGAAAGATCTATTTTTCCATCGATCCGAGAACGACTTGGATAAACACTGTTAGCTCTCAAATCTAGTCAACATAAATTCAATGAATTCCCCAGTGTGGAAACGAATACCCCAGGGGGAAACAAAGCAGGCAAAAATGGGAAGTAAATGAAATTAAGAGGCAATTTGTTGACGGAGAGTGAGCTGCCATTTCTCTGTCTCTTTCTTCTTCTATTGCTTGGAGGGTAAGAGAGAAGGGGAGAGAAAGAATGAAAGAAAGAGAGAGAGAGACAGAGGCAGAGAGAGATGAGAGAGATAGAGAGGGAGAGTGCACACACACACACACACACACACACACACACACACACACACACACACACACACACACACACAAATACATTCAGAGGTATGGAATAGAGGCAGAGATGGATACTTATGACAATAATATTGATATTAATAATTGCATTTATATAGCGCATACCTATGTTCTACGGCATGCACTATCGTATGATAAATAAATATATAGAGAGAGACAGAGAGAAACGCGCGCGCGCGCGCGCGTGTGTGTGTGTGTGTGTGTGTGTGTGTGTGTGTGTGTGCGTGCGTGTGTGTGTGTGTGTGTGTGTGTGTGTGTGTGTGTGTGTGTGTGTGTGTGTGTGTGTGTGTGAGAGAGAGAGAGAGAGAGAGAGAGAGAGAGAGAGAGAGAGAGAAAGGGGGAGGTATAGAAAATCCCCCCTGGGGAAAAAAAGGGGGGGGGTAGGTGGAGGGAGAGAAAGAAGGGGACAGTCTGAGATCGAATGCGAAAGGTGAATTGGGTTCGGTTTAGGGAAGGGGGAGACGAGTAGGATAGGACAGGACACAGATTCAGAATGTAGGTCATTGCCAACATTTAAGGGATGCAGGGACAACCCCCCCCCCCCCCCCCCAACATCGAGTTCGATCTACCCAATGAAATATCTCCCTTCCACAGGTTTGTTCAAACATCGCGCCCCCTGGCTCACAGGACAGTTAGTACTCATTTACACAGAGCGAGCAATTCCTTACAAAATCGAGCGAACCGGTACCATGGTTGGTGTCAAGCTGGGTGATAGTGCCAGTGACCCAAGTTGGAAACCTCCTGACCTTGCGTTAGCTTGGCCTATTTGGGAAGTTTGAATGCTCCCTTGACTCTGTTTTCTCAGACTATGACTTTGCATTCGCGTGTACTGTGTCTACAAGAACCTGACACTGTTAAAAAAAGAGGTTTTAAGTCCCCACAATTAGAAATTAACATACTAATTGCGGTATGAAATCATAATATAATTAAGCAGAAGAGAGTGTTATTCGAATCTTGTTTTCCTTTTTGGGGTATAATCTTTTTCGCCGGTCTTAATCTGCTGTCTCTTTGTTTTTCTCTCACAGTTACGTTCTTCATATAGTCTTTTCTTTCACGCTTCTCTCGTGCAAATTTTTGCGCGGATTTTAGGACCAAGGGTCTTTCTATGAAAATTTGTGAACGCAATAATGTTCAAAAACAAAACACACACACTAACAACATCAACCCCACATCCTCCTCCCATTGGAAAAAATAAAGCCGGTAAATTATATTTTTCATTTAAAAAATAACTCCGACGGGAATTGTACATGTTAATGCTATCTAAGCCAGTTGCTATTCACAACTCATGCTTTAAATAGAGAGCAATGCAATTCTTTCGCAACTATTGTAGAGGGCACTCAGCCGAGGAACCCCCCCCCCCAAATAAAAAAAGAAAAAAAAAAGAAATGTACACGCCGTTATTTATGCAGTCACATTGAAAGAAAGTGGAGGCCATTTGTCAAAAAAAACAACAAACAACAACAACAAATATACAAACCCTTAACTATACAGACGACCCCCGCCCCACACCCCCCTCCCCCGTAGATATGGGCCATTGTGATCAAGATAATAGAACCCACAAAAGTACAGATCTGGATGTTGCAAAAAAACCAACAAATCACCCCACCACAGTGACTGTTTCAGCGATTTCGTGTCGATTGAAGCGTGTGTGTGTGTGTGTGTTCTCTCTGTCTGTCTGTCTGTCTCTCAGTCTCTCTCACACGCAGAAGGAGAGAGAGAGAGAGAGAGAGAGAGAGAGAGAGAGAGAGAGAGAGAGAGAGAGAGAGAGAGAGAGAAGGGGGGCTGTGGGTGTTCGTGAAAACATGTATACCGTAAAATTAGTCTTGTGGGTGCCAACCGGTTGGTCGTCACACAGGAAGTAACACTTTATTCATTCGTGGAGTTTCGGAATATCCTCGCTCCCAATCTTAATTAATACCATGTTCTCTTTTCTCCTATCCACTTCCTTTGTTAGGGAGTAGGCACACTCGCAAGCGTATGTGTGCGTGTATGTTAGATAGACAGAGAGGCCGGGAAAGAGAGAGAGAGAGAGAGAGAGAGAGAGAGAGAGATAGAGAGAGGGGGGAATGAAGGGAGATGGTGGGTGGGGGTTGGAAGAGGAAAGAGTTCGTGTGACAGGCCGCATTTGTTTCTAAGGTGTAACGGAAAATCCAACGCTAATTGCAGAATGAACAGGATAACATACTTTTGGGAAAAAACAGTTTAAAAAAGAACGTTTATCAACATCACATCCTACCGATCCCCCTTTTCTCTAAGTCTTTGATGATAATTAAACTTTAGAACTGTTTGACAATGTATTGTATTATCTATTTTTCGATCATGAACTAAACAGTGACAAGTCCGTGGCTAGATGGTGCTACTGACAGGTCTTACTCGTTTACTAACTACGTGTGTCTATGTCTCCCACTCTTTCTTTATTTCAAACGCCTGTTATTATGTCGATTCTTCTCCTTACAACAATAAAACACTACTGGCGGGTGCTCTGGTGTGGTTTGCTTCTTCTTTCCTATAAACAATCTATTGTCTTTGTCTCCCCCACTTCTTTTATGTGTTTGTTACTCTCTTGTAACACCTCTAATCTTCGGCACTTATATGGCCTTATTGCGTTGCAAGTGCCTTAAAACTCTTACTTACTATAACTAAAAACACCATAACCTAAGATGAATACGCCCCCCATCTCCATCTTCCTCCTACTTCCCCAGCTGTATGGCACAGACAGTATGGGTTGCTACATCGTGGGCTACATGATGGTCTCATTCGGCACTGGAAACCTTCTGGCGATTCTTGCTCTGGACAAACTCAGGCTCTGCGCCACTCACCCGATCTTCCTCTCTCTAGGTACGTGAAGGCCTAGTTGTTAAGGCTGTTGTTGTTAATAAAGGTGTTGTTGTTGCTGTTGTTGTTGTTGTCAATAGTGCCACTTTTGTTGTTGTTGATGGCTGTTATTGTTGGTAGAGCTGTTGCTGTTGCCTCTGATGTTGTTAACAGAGACGTTGCTGTTTTGGTGGTGTTGCTGCTGTGATGTAATATAAGTTTTAATGATGATGATGAAGATGACGATGATGATGATGATGATGATGATGATGATGATGATGATGATGATGATGATGATGATGATGATGATTCATCTTCATCATCAGGAACAAAGCAATTGGTAGTAGTCAACAATATCTCCTTCCACAAACTAGCAACATCAGCAATAACAAAATATCAAAAAGTGAGGCGACAAAATGTTAACATCAAAACCCAAAGAGAATATTGAAACGTTAATACCGTCCAAAACAACAGCTCCTGACACTTTAAAGAATCACGTATCAGGAGCTTCGTCAACCGTATCTGTAATTCTGAACCTGTTTACACTGTGTCAGAGCTTTAACAATATCGACCTCTTCTACGTAATACCAGAGAAGCTATGTTTAAACTATGAAACACCATCAATCATAGGCAGGATACCACGTAGTACTGGAGGCCATTTAATTGCACCAAAGAGACAGGATGACAAGAATACAATTACAATGTCAAGGGAAATTATTGGAGTAGCAATCCAGGGAATTTCATGTCTTCCGTCTGTTTGCATCAGCCACGAGTAATGAATGATTTCGCTGTCTGGAAAACTAGACATAACTGTAAATTTAGTCCATTCACTCTGAGACGTAAGTTTGGAAGTTGGGTTTAGTTATCGTGATGTTGCAGTGCCCTTTCTTGGCTCAGAATTCAGCATTCTGAAACGTTACTACTTATGAGGATAATAACTTGTCCGCCAATGTATGACGATGGCCAGTGCATCTGCAGATGAGAATAATTTTTATGCTTAATTTAACATTGAGATGCCTTGTACCTTCTGTTTGGCCAATGAGACCAATGCCGGTTGAGACACGTTTGGCCCATTTTATACATTTAAAAGCTTAACTTCCCCTTGCCGGCTTCTCTTTTGGCATGAGCGTTTCTTATTCGTGAAGTCTCATAATTAGCTGCTCACTGTGGCTTCTGTTCTACAGATAGGTCTGTAAGGAGCTAGTTTCTCCCATGTCGAAGTATTTATGTTGAATTCATTCAGAGACATTTTCAGTGTGTCTTTGAAGAGTATTTTTGAATCGCCAATTTTAAGCTTCCATAAGGACAGTTCAGATTCTGAAATGAGACATTCTTGAGACATGACCAGCCCAGCGAAGTTGGGCACTTTTGAATTAAGATAACAGGCTCTTCCCATTTGCCCTTTTGAGAATGTCGATGTCTTGTATGTTGTCCTGCCATTTGATGCGAGCAGTTCTCCTGAATCATTTCATGTTAAAGTAGTTAAGATTCTTGGCAAGACTGTAGCACTCTGTCCAGGTTTTGACACCTTACAGCAGGGTTGGGAGGACCACAGCATTATAGACTTTGAGCTTTGTTTTGCTCTGAGTGTTCGTTCCGAAAGATGCATAGCTCTATTCAAACGTAAAGCTTTTTCTACATCGAAGAAGGTATTTGAAGACTGTGTACAGATATTTCAAGCTAACTACATTGTTCAGTGTTGCGCTATGTATTTTGATTTTAGGAGGGAGGTTCTGCGTATCACCAGGGTCATACAGGAAGATAACTTATGGCTTTGCTTTGTTTATCGTAAGTCCAACGTTCTCATTTGTATTTGAAAAGAGATCAACACAATTATGCATGCAGGATTCTTCATTGGCAAATAATACACAATTACAGGATAATAAAAGTTCATAGACTTGCATCATGCTAGTTCTTGTCTTTGCCTGCAACCTTCGAGAGTTGAAGACCTTATTATCCAGTCTGTACGCAGCAGGAGAGCCCTGGAATGATTTATGCATCTACACCTTTACCAGTACTATATATAATGTATCTCGACTTTAATTAAAGATAGATGGGTATTTTTTCATCAAAATGAAATATGAACCAGCTTCAAGTTGAAACCAATCACAAAATACGGCCAAAAGTTGACGAACACCTAATTTCATCGCGTCGGAAAACACACCCACACACACATACATACATACATACATACATACATACATACATACATACATACATACATACAAACATACATACATACATACATACATACATACATACATACACACAGAGACTCACACGCACACACATAATATGTATACATATGTGTATATATAGCGGTGTCCAAAAGGAACTTGACAATGTAATCACTCAATTATCGTGCCTTGCAATACCCACTCATGCAATATACCAATTTAAAGCTAAAAACAATTCTGCACTGTCTGACACGTTAATATTTCCTCAATGTTAAGAGACTCCCTAGATATGGTCACTCAAAATAAAACTGACCTTGAAAAATCAGCCTTGACAAAATTGTACGAAATCAAAGGCACGTAAATTGTCTTTGAGCGTATATTGAGGATCATCAATACTTATAGAATGGACATACATTGCATATCCAATGAATAAAGAATTTTGTGTCTGCAATGAACAATATTTAATTTCTATAGTTTCAAACTAAACGGAAAGCAAAGCTATCATACTCGTAATAAATACCACGTAAAACTTGGACTTTACGTTAAATGTGGACATTGTTATTTTGCTAAGGAGCCATTGGTTTTAAGCTGGACACGAATCCTTTGGGCATCGGCTCTATCAAAGATGGACATAATTATTTGTCGTTTCATCACAAATGTAACAGGCAGTGGCAAAGAAAGGGTCTAAATTGGGAGCCAAGTCGATTTTCTCAAACTGTTGTTTGATGGGACTTCACATACGTAAAGGATTCATGGGTGCTATATGCTGATGACAACTTCAACGTTGATATGGTATGGTTTTTCAAGAATTGTCTAGTGTCATTGCCCTGTGAGAAAGTGTTTTGCCATGCATAGGGATGTCTACTTGAATGATAACATGGCCAAAAGAAGGGTAGGACATGACGCACGCACACACACACACACACACACGTGTGCGATGTAGTCAATTAAACCAAGCCATTCGGAGATTCACACAAGGGCGGTTTAGTTCCTTCCACCCCAGACCACCCTAAACCATGGAGCTTCGTGGCCTCTGGTCCTCATTAACTGATTATTAGTCCAAAATCTAATTAACACAGCCATTTGCAAAGAAGGTTTCGTTCTTTACACGAAGCTAATTGCTCCAAAACAAAAATAAAATCATATTAATGAGCACTTCACCTTTCACTTAATCTATCTCGTAGACTGGAGGTCCGTCGGGGCACTTTTGAAGATTAGGCCACCAGCTTCCTCCACTCCTTCCGGTTTTCAGCTTTTCAGAGCGTGTCTTTGAGTTCCAGGCTTGTCAATTTTTTATGTTGTCCTCCCAACTCTTCTTCAGTCTGCCTTACCTCCGTTTTCCCTGTACGCTCATTTGTGATTTTTTCTTTGTATGTGATATCAAGGATTTTTCGTTAGCATCTCATCTCCACAGTTTTGATCCTTCTTCCAAGGTCTGCATTCAAGGTCCAGGATTCACATGCATACAAAAATACTGACATAACCAGAGAACGCACCAGTCTGATTTTTGATCGGATGGTGGTATTTATGTCGTTCCAGATAGTTTTCAACTTGGTCATTGTTGCTGAAGTTAAGTAGCACAATATACAATGTTAAATCCATGATTTGCATGGTATTTTTGGCTAATCTGTTTTTTAATATGTTTAAAAATATCATCAAAAGATGCTGTTTATTGCAGAGACAATAATATTCTCTTTTCTTTTGATACTCATTAAATGTACATTCCACCAACGGTGATGCACCTCAATACACGCTTTTACGTTTCTTTGATTTTGCACAATTTTGCCAAGTCTGTTTTTTTAAGGTCAGTTTTGAGTAACCATATCTCGGGCATCTCTTAACATTGAAGAAATACTATGTGTCAGATGATGCAGAATTTATTTAGCTTTAAATTGGTATGCTGCAAGGTAGTGCTAGGCTTTAACGCGATGATTGGGTGATAACATTATACAGTTTCATTTGGAGGCCAATGTATATA